GTCAATTGGGATGGAATAATATACTGTTAAGTGTTCGCTCATTCCCACACACTGAATAGTTTTAATTGGAATTAATTGGACGGAATTTGAACAAAATCGCCCAGCATCGCCCAGGGTTTTCTTGTTGTATCTGTTTGTTGTTTTTGACTTTTCTGTTCTGCTGTTGCTCCCCTTTAAGATCCTTACTTAGCGCTTCTGAGGTTTGCTGATTTCATGCAATTCTGACCTGGAAACCGTCTTCAAAAAAAACTTATTAACACTCAACAAGTTCATTGCCTAAAATTTACTGTAACAATTTGTCAAGGGGGTAGTGCACAAGCCCAAAGGAAGTGAATACAACGAATTGTTTAGGGGTTGGTAGTTGGTAATACAAAGTTTTTTTTGCCCTAGGATTTTGCACGACTATTGCTACCACTACCACTACTACCACCACCACCACTACTACTACTGCCAACTACTACCACTACTGCTAGTTACTTTTGGTGTTGTTGATTCTATTCACTCACCCTCGATTGTTCTAGGAAGAGCGGGGGGCCTTTTGCTAAAGAAATACCGACCAAATCGCGCAGCGAGTAGTGGCTTGTCCCGTGCAGGCAAGGACACAAAGGAACACGCTGATGGTGCAAGGGTTTCAGGGTAGATGGAGCAGTGTAACGCTGTTCTGTGAGCATCATGTTGGCAAAACATCGTCTAATGCGAGTCTAATCAAAGAAATCAGAGCAAGGTCCTTCTGGCGGTGGTATCTATGATACTAGTTATTCTCACAATGAATATGTAATTAGTCGGATACCTTTGGCTTCACAGGTTCACCTACAATCACTTACATACCCGTGTCAGACCCACCCATAGTATTGGGTGTGCTCAGTGACTTTGCCCAGTCTCAGCCATCGCTTCGGTCCCAACAAGTCCCTGCGAAAACATGAGGTTTGGTTCAAATCCAAGGCGAGACACACCGTGGACTGGTTGATCCTCAGGTTGAACTTCTTGGCCTCACAGGGAATCCAAGTGAGAAAACGGAGAACGAAAAGCTCGGCCTGTCAGTCAGTCAAGCAGGTATGTTGGGTAACAAAGCAGCACTGCCCGCCTCGCGGATCACCTCCTCTTTGTCCTTCTCCTTATAGGGAAACTTAGAAACTTAGGGAAATGGAACGCAATGGAAGATGCTCTACCTGATGTCGATGATGATGATGATGATGATGATGATGATGATGATGATGATGATGA